AACCCCCCCCGGGGGGAAGCCCCCCAGTGAAAAAAAAAAAAAAAAAAAAAAAAAAAATCACCCAACTTTGTAATCTTTCCAAATAATTAAAAAAGACGCTTTCAAGAGTTGTTTTTACCTAAAGCCAAAAGTATAAAAAGACACGTTTATAAATAAAAGGGGAGGGATGTGGATTTTTTTAAACAGGTGAAAGGAAAGAGTAGTGTTGAAGACAAAAAAAAAAAAAAAAAAAATCACCCAAATTTGTACTCTTTCCAAATAATTAAAAAAGACGCTTTCAAGAGTTGTTTTTACCTAAAGCCAAAAGTATAAAAAGACACGTTTATAAATAAAAGGGGAGGGATGTGGATTTTTTTAAACAGGTGAAAGGAAAGAGTAGTGTTGAAGACAACAAGGAGCATCACCTTTGGGGTGGCATACACAAGACATGCAGGGTGGACATGGCTTATTCCTAGGGTTGCCGCCCTGCGCGCTGCGCCAAGCACGCGGTACAGCAGGTCATCCCTACGCACACCGCGGCCGAGCCTGTGTGTTATGTACAACACTGCCAAGTACCGGGCAGTCTGGGCTGGGCTGGAGACGGAAGCACCTGCTTGCGAGCAGGCGAGGGCTGCAAGACCACCTGTCTTCATTATTTTTTTAATGAGGTTTTTGTCATTTACTATTTCGGATGCTACACATCCAATGCAAGGAGGGGAAGGGGGAGAAATGACCTTATACATGCATGAATTTACCAATGGTGCTTAAATACCTGTATTTGACTTCTTATATATAGTTATATACACATTCTTTCTTTAAAAAAATTAAGTTTGTATGTTTTCTACTCCTTTAGAGAAATGTCCCGATTCCTCTGAGGTGTGAAGAAACCAGCAAAATGCAAGGGGAGGGTGGGGGGGTCGAGAGCTATAAGGCCTGCCCCAACCATGACCTGGGAGATGCTATAGAAAAGAGGAGACGATCTGAGAGGGGCTGCAGAGCAAAGGGGGACTCCTGCAAGTGCCCACCCGCTGCTGGGCGCTGCTGAGGGATGGGGAGGAAAGAGAGATTTGCCCACAGCAGGACGAGGGCGGGCAGCGGCTGCTGCCTTCCCTGCTCCAGCGCTTCCTACCACGCCACTTTGCAGGCCAGGGAATGAACCACGGTTCCCTCGGGCTGGTGATACTATTTACAGTTGAGATGAAAAACAACTCTTCTGGTTTGAGCCAGGACCGCTGGATAGGAGGGACAGTACATATGTAAAGAGGAGCACAGAAAGGTCCAAATTCTTTTCAGTCTTTGTTAGACTAATCACTTGTTAGAATATCTGCCTGGTTGCACCTATGCTAACAACCACAGGCACCAGTAAAAGAAACTGATTCAAATGTACCTCCCCCATCAAGCTGCTTTACTTCCCAGGCAGTTGCGATTCAGCCTTTTTCTATCTGACCTAACAGCCAGCTTGTGGTGAAACATACTCAACCAGGGGCAACCAAATATAACATACTTATGCCCCCTTAGTGCTGGAAACTGATTTTCTTTTTGAGAATATTTCCTATTGCCAGCAATAGGAAGTCATCAGGGAAGAATCAGTTGCATTCTCATCTCTCTCATCAAACTTGTGTCACTACCATCTTCTACTACTCAATTTGTAACATATATGCCTTGGGCAAAGAGTTCACAACTTTGCCTTTAAAGAAATAGCTGCTTAGAGGACAGCAAGTGGAGAAACAAGAGGCCAAGAAACACATCTGTAAAACAACTATTCAACTCATTCTTCAATTACCAATCACCAACTCTATCCTAAATTTACTTTCCTGGAGCCTTCGTGTACTGCATCTTTTACAGATACTGGCCAACGTGTTTCTCAAGCCAACATTATCTCTACCTCTAATCTATTTTCCTGAATGTCCTACATCTACTATTCTAATTTATTTCAAATTACACTACCACCCCCCAACTAATCTACTTGCTTGACACCTCTCTTACCATCATTCTGATCAGAATCTAGCCTCAGTTGTTTCCCTTATGCAGCCTTGATCACAGGCAAAATCCATTCCACAAAGCAGAACCCCTGATTAGTATTTAAAAAAAAAAATTTTGCTTCATGTGACTTATTTCCAAGGCACTTTATTTCATATCTCTCTATGTAAACTTCACTGCTTGCTGTTTTTCACCTTGATGAGAACTGCAACATGATCTGTTCATTCTGGCCACTCGCTCTCTTGTATTATCTCTGATCCCCTTTATCACTATCTTACAATTTAAGCAATAAAATGGAATAAAATTGCATGGGGAAGTAATATAAAAGACCCTCAAACCATTACCTTCAATACAAAAAGATACTTGGGTTGAAGGGACTGCTATTTTACCTGAGTGTCTCATGGCCCCAGCACAGCAAAAAGATTCCTGTGTACTGGGGACGTATGTTCACAGTCTAAAAGTGGATGAAGTAAAATAATCACCTCAGAAGCAGGCTCGACCCAGACCAACTTCATCACACCTACCACCATATATCCCACTCGCAGCACCTCCAGCATACCTTTCACTCAAGGAAACTCCCAGAAAATTCCTCTGCTTTGCAGCTTGTCCTTCTTCACTAAACTCTCTGCAAGAGACACTGCCCATGAAAGCCAGCACCTCACCTAACTCTGCACAGTGCACTGCTGAAATGGGACTTTTGAAGTTTCAGTACAGCCCCATGGAAGGAAATGTTAGCAAGAACATCTGACACATAAGATTAGCCAGGCTGAAATTAAGAGGTGGAAGTAGCTGGAAAGCTCTGGAAATGCTCCCCATGCTGCCAAGCCCTAGAGCAGCCAGCAACTATGACCAGCCAACAAACCTCTGGTGGGAGAGCAAGAACAGCAGATTCCCAGAGACTTGGAGTACACTGAGGAAAAAGGTCATCCAGAACCAGCCTGCCCAGCAGAAAAGCGGGCTGCACTGCAGCGCTCCAGGCACAGAAAGGCAGGAAAACCAAGTTAGTCAGCAGACTAAATTTCAGAGTGCCACAGGGTTTCAAAGAACAATAATGTAACATAAAACTGTTTTAAGCCTTTAACCTGTGGAACAACATGTTGCAGTCTTGCCACGTTTAAGTGGCTTCCATGGACACATAAATGTACTCTCTTACCTACTAAAAGCTTCAAGCTTCCTTGCATTCTTCTATAAACTGGAATTGTACTGCTCTGCTTCCAATACAAGAAAGAATGGAGATGGAGGAAGAAATAAAGCAGTCTGTGTTTCTATCCCCACTGCAAAAAGGAGGGGGAATATAAAGGGGAAGGTGCTAAAGAGGTTTTGTTTTTTGTTTCTCCCCACCCCCCTTAGCTTATCACCATCACTAGACAGTTTAAGCCATCGAGGTTGGATAAGTCCCACAAGGTGAGAAGAGTATTGCACACAAAAATACAAGGGGGGAAGATTTTCTGTTTTTCAGTCAAGAAATTCATTAAAGAGTCTGGGAGGGAAAAAAGGTAGTAAACACATCCCAAAATATCTTGTTTGGTCTGTGGCAAGACCATTTTCTGTGGGTAGTTGAAATAGCTTTACAAAAGGTAATGGAATCCCACCATTCTTAGGATGTAAATATTTGCTTTCATCATCCCCCAATTTCCCAGTAGAGTCAGGATGATATTAAGGTCAACAGCCAATTCCTAATCATGAAAAATGGCTCAAAAGAATGTTCATATTTTCACCTACATCCCTTTTTTAGAGCATCTGCAGAAAAATTCAGTATATCAATATAATATCAAATTCCAGGCTAAAATTTCAATACTGATCTTATTAAATAATCTTCAAAGCTTGGTCCAAGGGTTGCAGAATTCTCCCCTGGTGAGGTGAGCACAGATAAAATACTGTGTGGGGACTGTCCTTGAAGCAAGAGAAAAGCAAACAGGGTAGTCATGACAACAGTAGAATTACTGCAGGTACCAGACTTGGGCAGGAAAAGAAAGAGGAGCAAGACACGATTTAAGCAGAAAACAGTTCAGTAATTGCACAGACACTCCAGCCTGTCTCCCTCTTGGGGGTTTATAATACAGAGATTGTTTTTCGCTGGGATATAGCAAAGGGATTATCTTTTGTTAAAGAACAAAGGAAACAGCCACAAATGTGACAGAGCAACAGTCAGAAAAATAAATTAATAAATAAACACATAAAAAGTCTGCTTCTGGATTCTGATGAAACCCTGTTGTGGAAAGGATTGGCTTCACTTGGACTCCCTTGTTTTTAGGCAGCCGTTCAGAATTTCCTTGGATAAACTGGATATTCCTTTGTTTTAAGTGCCAAACATCCTGACATCCTGGCTATGAAGAAATTTCCAAGAAATTTCTCCAAACTCCTCTTTCAAGACTTTGTATAGAGACAGGAAGTTGTAGAACATGGGAAAAAATATTAAAATTGTGGCCAGCACACTGCTAAGAATTAGAGCATGTCACTTGTATGGGCTTGAGGAAGTCAAATTTATAAAGGGGTCCCCACCACCACTAGACCAGCATGATGGTCCATTTGTCCGAAGCTCCTCCTGTGGTCCTCCTCTTGGGATTATTTCTGTGTATCCACAAACACCTGAAAAACACCCCTTTAGAGTTTTTTGTCCATGCGTCGTTCCACAGCTTGTAGCAACAGCTCTGAGTACTGCTCCAGCAAAGCCAGTGTCTGCTCATCCCCCAAACTCTTGGGACTGGGTAGATTGGCACTGCATCCCTCATTCAGTGGCCTAGTGGTATCTTGTGGCTTCACCAGAACCTCCTTAGCCTTTGGAAGCTCTTCCTCATCCTTTAGGGAGTCCAATTCTTTCTTCACTAAGGAGAATGTTTCTATCAGGAGACCAGCTATCTTATCTTTGTCAGTAGAAGACTCCGTATCATTTAACACCTGAAAACAAAGAAGGAAAAGAGGGCGGGACAGTGGGGAGAATATATTGGTATTTAGACCACAAAGTTAGACATTTCAGCCATAAACAAGATTTACAGACTACTCAAGTGCCTTCTTCTCCAACATGCAAGGAAGGCTGCCAGTTTAGTACAGCAGGGCAGGCATCCAAAGCAGCCGGTCATACAACAACTAAAGACATCACTCAAATAGGATAGACCTGGGATTCCCATTTTGGGGTAGCACTCCCCTTGTTAGGCCTAAAGAAGGGCTGTGTTTCCCCTCTCTCGCACAGGCCAATGCCCTTCTCGTCTGCCAGGTGCAGCTGATCACAGAGCAAACACAGGCACTGAGCTGGGAGCCACAGAGGGACCAACAGCAACAACTCCCTGCAGAGTTCCACACTCCCTGCAGGAGACTTCACAGGGCAGTGCTTAAGCAAAGAAAACATTAGTTATTAAACTGCTCTGCACTTAACGGTAAGGGGGACTAGCAAATGACTGCCTTTGCCCTCTTACAGCTGCATTCCCATGGTATTGGACATTTGCTAATCCTCTTCCCAGGCATCAAGGACTGAGAACAGAATTGGATAATAAAACTTAGAGCTGCTACAATATTTCATCTGTCTGAAGCGCTATATAAATCTTAACTAATGCTTTAATACTCCTTTGAGAACGAGCATACTGTTATCTACAGTTTACACATACACTAAGAAGGCTGAAAAGTTAATTGATTTGCTCAGAATACCATAGCAAACCACTGGAAAAAAAACGAACGTTTCAGGAGTTCCTGTCTCCCAGATTGAAGCTTAGCTACAATCAGGGAGGCAACCAGGCAGCTTCTGTCGCTCAACACCTCGTCAACAAAACACTTGGGCTCTGGAGCCCGTGGGTGTGCAAGGTGCACGTTTGGCTCAGCCTGCCCGTAGGGAGCCAGCGCCGGAGGTCACTCACCGCGCGGTAGAGGTGCACGGCTCTGCGCACGCTGTCCTGGAGCTCAGAGACCACATGCTCACACTGCTCCACGCTGATGAAACGCTCTGCAGAGGAGGAGAAAAGTAAGAACACAAGCTAAGGCACAGACACACGCCAGTACCTGCCAACTCCCAGACAGACAAGAAAAACAATACTTTGTTTATTCCTTTGTCACATATACACACACATACACACACACACACACATATATATATATATAAGATCATACTTTTCATTGGTTTGAGCCAATCATTAAATGGGCAAGCTCAGAAACTTTCCTTCCACTATCTCCAGATGCTTCTTGTCTCAAACATTTTTTCTAGTCTTTAGCCTCTCCAAAGTTAAAGCAACTTCTGTCAGACTGCACAATGTTACTACAAGTGGAGGATCACCTTAAGATTACCTGCACCATTCTCATTTTTAAATAAAGATAAGTTTGAATGAAGGATTCCAAAGTCAAAAGGGACTGACCCGAGGAGCCTGATTTAGCTCCCACCCCTACTCAACACTACATACTCTCCTTCTGCAGAGCAGCTATGCAGATGAATGATTATGCTGACTTATTACAGTGTTCTCTAGTGAGTACTGAGGTCCAGGAGTGCTCTCAAACTCAATCACAACAAATTTGTATTTCTGGGCAAAGCAGGATTTGCATTGCTAATAACAATATAGAATTATTTGAAAACCAAAATAAAGCAAAACAACAAAAACCACCACCTTCAGCCCTCATGAGCCATTATTTCCAAGGCTTTAAAAAACATTTTCATGAGTTAGACATAAATCATGAATGAAGACAGACAAAGACACACACATAATCTGCAGTTATCTTCAATTTGCAAAGGCCTGCAGAAATGCTATTCAAGTTCTTTCAGTTACCTAAAACGATAAAAACTTGTTCACATCAGCACTGTTATTTCTGTGCTTCTTACTAAGCAGGTCACATTTGGACAGGCTGCAGGGACCTTAGCGTCAAGCTAATTATATAAATACATCTAGAGGAACAAACACACATGAATCAGTTCTTCCATCTGTGTTCTTCGATCCTGAATCACCCAGCTTTTGCAGGGTGTGGGCAGGGGGCTTCAGCTCTCTTGTCTAAGACTCTTGCCTTCTGGTTCTGTGGATTTTTTGTTTTTGTTTTTTAAAGCACAGCACTTTCTTGTGAGATTGTTCCTGGACTTGTCTTCTGATCATTCTTTTATGCTCTCTATCAGTCTGGAGAAAGGTCACAAACATAACACAAATGCTGTTGACAAAGGAATTTTCAGCCTCCTGGATGTAGACAGCAGACTTCCTCAAAAACCAGCAGGGAGTATTAAACACAACAACATTATTCAGCACATCTACAACCTTTTTTTTTTTTTTAAATCTAAACCTGTAGATCTCAAAACACTCCTTATCATCACATGTGCTATAAGAAAGAAAATGGAAAGGCAGAAAAATTAAGTGGAGTCCCAAACTCATAGAACAAGGCAAGAGCAGAATAGAGTTAAAGGACTACAGGTCTTTGCCAACCGTGCACTTCTAATCTAAGCCCCCATATACTGGGATCCATAGGTGCCTAGGTAATTTGACCATAGGAATAGCAGGCTTGGATCTAAACATCTTCTCTATCATTTATGACTAAATATTTGGAGAGTGTGGCCTGCAAGAAGCTGAAGGCCAACTGTTGCCTGCTGATCAAAACAAAAGGTTGGGCATCTCATGCACAGAACTTACTAAAGGATGCTGCTCAAACTCCATGCCAGGATGTACTGTGTGTTAGGAGCAGGTTAAAAATACAAATAATTAATAATAATAAAAAAATGTACCACAAACCTTAGGGCCTTTAATCCCCCTAGAAACACAACAAGAAAAACAACAGTGCATCAAGGGCATCTCTGCAATGATTTTGGTTACTGTTGCAGTGAATAGGTAAAGTAGCCTGGTACCACAGATGATTGATCAGAAGATTATAAAGAGGTTCCTCATACTCATATGTCAATAATGGTACCAGTGAGATCAACATAGCAAAAGAGTTGTTTATAAACTTGTGCACTGTTTACTCCCTTGAATGTACAAGGCACAAATGCAACGGTTAAGGTCCAGCCTCCTACTGTATGACTCGGACAAGTATTTTAGGAAGGGGAATTTCCTTGCAACTTGACACACACACAAAAATCTGTGGAGACTGCAGCCTTGAAGGGTAGGGTTTTTGCTTCTATTTGAAGTTACCTGCAAATTTTCCAATTGACTGAAATACCTTAGACTAGAGCCTGTAACAGACTCAGTAGCTGTTTTTAGTAGGTAAGATAGTTCCCCAAATACTACCTTTTCTCTCAACTAGCAACAGTTTTAAAATTGTTTTGTATGAATCCAAAGCTCTATATGCTTAACCCCAAAGGCTAGGCCTGTCTGTGCATTACATACCCAGCTTGCTAGGTCCAGCTGACAAGACACCAGACCTGCACTTTCATTTCACTGGTATCTTGAGGGCAGAAAGGCATGTAGCCAATGGACACTAAGGGGGATTCTCACAGGAGCTGTTAGTGTTGACTGAAATAAGCTTGAGCCCCTAACAATGGAGATTTATGAAGACAACCACAAGGGTGCTCAGCTGTACAAAACATTCAGCTAAAAAGAACCTTCAGACATAAGACCAAGAGGAAAGGGAAATTAAAAGACTGAGAAAAAGACGCCAGGCTGAAAAAGTGTCTCACCATTGAGGGGATGGCTTATGGAACGAGACAGGTGCAGACAGGACGAGACAGGCCAGAAGCTGGACGTAAAGAAATGTGATGGGATCGTGAGGCGGTTCACAAAGACAGGAGACAGAAGGGGGAAGATAAGAGATGGGTATCCATGCACACCTGAGGCCTGTGCCGAGGCAGTTAGAGATGTAGGAGACCTCGGCCTGATGGGGTCTAGTGGGCAAAGTCCAGGCTGGTCGTCTAGCACGCAGGCAATGCCGGCGATTCTCTCCCTGCACCTGGGCAATGCGTTCTCGGGAGACCTTTGCTGCCGGCCTTCTGAAAACTCTCTCAGTTTGGGGTTAGTGACCCCTGGCTCATCCTGGTAATCTGTCCTTGAGCCCGGACTCTCCGTTGGGCTCTCCTTAGTAAGTCCTAGTGGAGTCTCTTTACCAGGAACCAGAGAGCCAGCAGTGTGGTTCTCCCTCTTGGAGGATCGGCCCTCAGGAAAAGGCTTCTTTTTACAGGCTCCAGCAGGTGACTGTGGAGACTGTGGCTCAAGCAGCGTTTTGGATTTGGTAGTGGGTGAGAAGGAGGCCAGTGTAGGTCTATCAGGTAATGGCTTAGGAATGTCAAGGATCAGGTGTGCTCGATTTGACGATGCCAGCTTGCTGTGAAAGGACTTGGGAGATGAGCAGTTTACAACTGGCTGAAGTGTTGGCTTCACTGGAACATTTTCTTTTTCCTTCACTGGTAGCTTATTCTTCTCAGCCTCTGCTGGGGGACTAAGTTGCATCTTCTCTGCCACTGGAGGGCTAGTCCTCCCCTCAGTCAACATTTCAGTAGAGCAACCAAGATACAGATTTTCCCCTACAGATATACTCCGTGACATCTTAGCCCGGAAGCTGGTCGTAGGGTTCATGTAGGACTTTGGTTTTGCAGCCCTGACATCTTTGGCCAGCAGAGCACCAGATCCATCCATCTTCAGTAAACTGGCTGACAATACCCTGCAATTGTTAGGTCTGGGATCTTTCTCAATCACTGTAAGAGTCTGAGGACGCTGCTTGGCAGAGGGTATCACTCCAGGACCCTTATCTGTGAAAATTAAACAGACAAACATACCAAAAATAGACAAGAGCATGCAGTGAATTCTAAAATCAGGAAGCCTCAGAGCTGCTCCAGCCTATGGGCCTCAGCTCAGCCCCTGGAAGACATGTACAGAACCACTACTTCAGGTTAACATCACCTAGTCCTTCCCATCCCTCATCCTGCTAACACACTATTGCCTACCTGATCAGAGATGCTTATTCTCAAAATTTAAGGTGAGATCATATCAGAAACTACTATCATTAACAGAAACCAGAAGAAGAAGGCAAAATCTGCCAGTTCTCTTTAATCCACTCACATACACATGGTGCTGCAGCAAGTGGCTTATTTTCTAAAAACAAACCTAGTGCTTGATGAAGGTTCATGAGTTGGCAGTTTCAAAAGTGGAGTTTCACACAGAGTGCACAGAGACAGCAAGCTCCCTCTTAGTGCCCTTCTCTTTGCCCCTTCTTCCCTCCCCACTCTGCACAGCTTCAGCCTGGAGCAACGAGCTCATAACAAGAGAGCACTTGGTAAATGGTTCATTTCACCCTTGATGTCCCTCCTTCCACTGCTGCCAGATGAGTATCAAAGACTGATAATTGGGAGATCAGTCTGCATTACAAGTTAGAAATGTTTTCCCTTAACAGAGTAAGAGTTAGAAGATATACAAACTGTCTGCCTGTAGCTCAGAATGCAAAAGATGCAAGATTTATTTAAATCACTGCTCAAGTTCAAAGCTCCTATTTCTAATCTTGGGTTTATATCTCCATCCAGCCCATGTCCTTACCCTCATGAACGAGGTCATGAACTGACTGTGCCTTTCTCATCACCGCATTCACAGGGCCTTCTGGAAAGGATGCCATGGCTCGTCCAGGACCCATACCAACTCGGCTGGTCTCTAAAGGCGACTTGCGTTTTTTCTGGGCATAAACAGCCCGATGGGAATTCACACTCTCCAGGAGGTGGCCGTTCTCCAAAGCATCACCAGGTTGGCTGTTGCCATTTTTCAACAGGTCCAGAGTCATCCGACTGGTCTGGGCTTGAGGCTCAATGGTCTTTGAATCCAGTGTCAGATTTGATGAGGAGAGTGACAAACGTCTAGAGAACATAATGAAGAAATCCTAGTTGAAATAAGTACGTAGTTTGCCTTAGATGAATAGGCACACACATTAGGCCAGTTTCTCCAAGAAAAATAGCCTTTTCCTTCCCTGTTTGGATTTGTTACATCAAAATTGTCCTAGGCTGTTACACTTCAGGTGTTCAAGCATCCCACCTTATGCTGCAGGATGAGTGCCAATTAACACAAATAGCACCAGGTCACTGCTTCAGAGAGGGACTTCGTAAAAGGTGAAGGCAGGATACAAGGAAAAGTTCCAGGAGGAAGGAAGACTGGGTAAGGTTGGGCCAAGTCTTTCCTCTCAGCTCAACTTTTAAAACATCAAAATCTTTTAACTTCTTTTTAAGGTACCTCAACAGAGACCGTAACACTATGCAAGAACAGTTACTAACAAAACTGTCAGTATCTTCAAGAGAAGAGACTAATTTCCTCTTCCTCTGCACTCCAGGCAAGCATAGCAGGCTTACCTCAGAAAGGAGGCAATCTGTCAGGTTTGACAGCCAAACAGATTAAAAGTCTAGAGGTTTCCATGCATTTAAGCTACTGCCTTTATCACATCTCCCAAGTGCCCATGACTTCATCCTCCCACCACTGCAGCTCTCCGGAGGCTTTTGCAAGAGCCACCCACGGGCCTTCCTCCCAAGCAGGCGCTGCAGGCCGGGCTAACGGGCGCTCTCGACAGCACCAACAGCCGCACGTGAACACAGCGGCGACGGAAAACTTCCTGAACGTGCTGCATCTAGACACAGCTAGCAAGCCATAAAAGATGCACCCAGCTCTGCTCACGTCTGTACACTGAAATCAAACCAATCTCAGCCCAGATTTCAAGTTAGCATTTGAAGGGAATGGAAGGGGAGCTTTAGACATTTATGAAACAAACTCAACAGACATATTTTCAACTTTCTAAGTGCCAACGGAAACTCTCTAGAGAAACCTTTTGTGGGTGTTGTGAAATTGGCTTTTTCTTTTTCTTTTTTTGGGTAAGAATAATATTCCCATAGGGTGTTGTACCAGACAGAGCACCCTGCAGAGGCATGGCACCAGTACGTGAAGCTGAGTAAGAAAGGACTGTAAAACAAAGGAGAAGTTAACCAGCCTACTTTCATTGTCCAAGCTGAATGAAATGCAAAAGAATAAACAGACCATAAATAGTGAAAATAAAATTAGATGAAGTAAATTCTTCCAGGTTAATCAATTAAGGCATTAATCATGGAGCAGTTAAGCCTATTATTAGAAAAGGAAAAGGAACAAAATAGCATTACTTTAGTAAGAAAGAGAGCAGCTAATGTGATACAGAATGGCATGTCCGAATCGGAAGGGACCACAATCAACCTGCCAGGAGCCTGTACTAAGAACTCACTCTGCCCGGGTACATTAAGGTCAGAGCCTTCTGCCATATTTTGGCCCAGTGTCTAGCACAAGACTATTCACTCATTAGTAAAAACAAGACAAACAGAAACAGAGCCATACCTGAGAGCCGGGGACTGGGAAAGAAAGCGTGAGGAAATGCTGAGGTTTTCAGTTCTTTCCAGAGCTCTACATGAGCCACCTATAAATTTGTGTGAAAGGGAGAAGAGAAAGGGAGTCATTTAGTTACAGATCAAGATCCAAACATTCTGACAAATACATTTTGTTATCACAGGTACTATCACATGCTTCCCCATATGAAAGAGGATTTTTGAGCTAAAAAAAACAGAGAATAAATTATTTAATCTCCTTTTCCTTTTTTGTTCTACTCTGATTATAATTTCTCTGCCTTATCTTGCCAGTCTCCCTAAGGGCATCCCTCCTCCTTTTTCTCCTCCCTTTGTGTCCTGTCCTGCCTGTAGGACCGTAAGGCACTGATATGCAGCAGAAAACAAACCAATAGAGGAAAACAGTAAAATGGACAACTCACAGAGGTATTTCTACCTGCACACCATTATCAACTCTAGAAAGATACTCTTTGTTCTCAAGCTGGTCGATAAGGACTAACCAGCTCCTTTTCCACTCTGATGTCTCCTCTTATTCTCTCCTTCCTCTCAGTATTTCAGTCTTTTCTTTTGTGACATCTGCTCTGCCTTTGTACACCACTAGAGGCCACTACGTGTCCCCAGTGGTGAGGGGGGCACGCTCACACAGTTCATGTGTGTACCCATGCACAGGAGTTAAAACTAGTGCTGGAACAAGAGAGTGGCTCTGTAGGATTCAGGGTGATACTTGATTCCATCACTCTGTGGATGGGTTTTTGTAGATCAGTTGGGCTATGTATCTGTTTGGGTTATCAGAGGCCTCTTTTTTCAGTGTGTCTACCTCTGTTTCCCCATTCTCCCCTCCATGTAGACTCATATCCTTAAAAGTCTACCAGGGCTTGCAGATGTGTGTGGTTTCTAAAGCAGACAAATCTGGGGTGATCTGACAGAAGGAGTCCCTCCCACTGAGCAGAGGGCGGTACCTTGTCCGTCAGTGCTGCCCAAGCTCCCAAAATGCTGCTTGAGGAATTTTTCCTGATCCGGTATCTGGAGGATTTCTCCCTCCAGCAGGCCAGTACCTGCATCCTCTTCTCCCTCCTCTCCCTCCAGATCTGAGATGCCATCCACACTTAGGGGCTCAGTGCTTTCGGAATCTGTGAAGAGACAAAAAACAACACACTAATGGCATCATCCCAGTTAACAGCAGTCGGGTTTGGACAGATAGTAAGAGACTAAACTAAACCGAGATGTTAAAGTACAAGTCAGTCAGCATTAGGTGCATTTCTCTAATCTACTATATTCCACAAACAGCACAGCCTCGGGAATAATGAACACGAGAGCTACCACCCAAGCTAGCAAGGCAGAAGAGAGTTAAAGGTGTAAATGGAAAGTGAAATTCAACCAACCCATTCTTCCAAGGTGGACTCACTGAAGTGCCTGAATCTTTACGCTAATGCTGGAAAGGTTTTCATAGAAGTATGACCTCAATTAAGCTCATAAAGAGGATCAAGTATTAGAGACCAGAATAGGAAATGATAAACCTGGCAAAAAATAACCTCAGCAAGTTCCTGCAGCGCTCCACATCAGATATAAATAGATTTTAATACATCTTTGCATCTTACCTTCATTTGGATGATCTGGGCTGGACAGGCGACTGCTGCTGTAATCTACAGAGCAGGCACTGTCAGGGCTGTGTTTGTCTGGGCATCCATTGCTGTGATAATCTCTACTTAGCTTCCCATGGGGCAATGCTTTTACCTGGAACTCACTACAAGAGACAGCAAATATCCAACACTAGCACAGATACTTACATTTTGCATTTAAAGGAACAGATTCTGACTTTAATAAGGCCTTACCTGTGTTAGTAAAACCTTTAATTATTACAAAGACAAGGCTTTAAAAAGAAAAAGACATTGATTTCTGCCATCACTATACAGTATATTTTTGCATTTCATTAAGCTTGGACAGTGAAATCTCAAAGAGACTGTCTTGACTTTCTGGGCATTGTCAGTGTTCCATGATTAGCAGGTACTTGGGCAGCACAGTCCTGTCTTGATTTCCAGCACAGCTGGGGGAACAAACATCGTGATCTACTTAATGAAAAGAGACTAAAAACGGGCCTATATGTACTTAATACAAACTCCAGTTTGCCATAGATTTGAGCCCTAATCTCGTAGCTGCTAATCTAGTAACTTTTTCTATATTTATGACCTCCTTCCTTATGCCACTCCAGATCTCAAAATGCTACAAAACAGAAAATTCTGGGATTAAACAAGACTAGAGAACACCATACAAAATACAGTATTGTAGGATTGTGTTCCTCATTCTTGTTGTGATTTTACAAGCGTGATTTTGTCAAGAGAAACTTTTTTTTGGGGCGGGGGGGGGCGTTATCCATGAGCTTTCCACTCCGTTATCCATTTCAGCTTTCCACTCTCTGAAATAATTTGGTTTCAGATGTACTCCATGCTACATAGTATGAAGAAGTTAACCAATGTAACTGAGTAGAAATCACCCTTGGCAGCTTGCAAACTCTGCATACTCTGAGATACGTCTGCATCCAGCATCACCAGACAGCCTCTCTGTCTGACATGTTGGAACAGCACATGGTCTGTTCTGTCTAAATGTTATCATAATAAAATTAAAAATGTAAACAAAGAGGAACTGGGAGAAACCCAGCTTCAACTGCAAAATCATGGTATTCACTACTGCATAAAAGCCCAGCTAAAGACATCAGCCCACTCTCTGTACTAGAGCAGCAAGAGACAGAGGGAATCAGGTTAGAGGGGGAAGCAGGAGTGCAATTCAGGGAAGGAAAAAGCATGGAGCATTGAATAAGGAAAGTGAGGTAAATATAAAATAGAAGAAACAGCAAAGAAAAGAGAACGCTCTCTTTACTTCCTGCAATATCCCTTTAAATACCTTTTAAGTCACACAACACATGTTCTTTCTAGAACACGGTAATTACCTACCATATTTGCTAAATTCTTGCCCAACTGCATTTGAAACTGTCCCAAGTAATTGTGTCTTGTCTTTTCTATTAGACAGGTACTTCACAGGCAGATAAACCTCCCTGTCAAGAGGTTTTCCAGCTTTCCAATTTTCCCTTGCTTATTTCAATCCAGATAAGGAAGGAAGGAAAAAAAAAAAAAAAAAAAAAAGACTGCTCCCAAGTTGTTTATCCAACAAGAAACCTGAGGATATGGGGTTTTCGCATGAGGAAAGATTATGTTAATGGTGTGTTCTTAGTTCAGCTTCCTTTAGCATCAGGCTGGCATAAACTCCTTAACTAAACCTGGCATCAATCAGGCAATAAATCAACTCATCTAAATTACCACACAAGCTGCAGGCAAACTAAACAAGGAGAAACAGCTGAGCCATGCACAGCAGAGGCTTATTTTTATTTTTAACCTGCTAGAGTCTGTGGGATGGATTTCATCTTGCTCAGGGTAGATTACACACTCCTCACTCTCACAAGGTTCCAGTTCCTGAGAGAAAATCCCCTCTTCACAAGACACAAGCCGAATCACTTGGGGTCGTGCACAAGACCGGTTGTCTTGAGGAGCTATTGAGCCTCCAACCTAGTACAGAAATAGAAAAAGACTAGAGATTACCCGTGTTTCCCCTTCAAGTCAGCAGGTGCTCTAAACGTATTACTGTATGGGATACAATCAAAAATCTGTGATTAGAAAACAGTCCTGTCTTTCATTCTTATTGAATGAAAGACTGTCTATTGCTCTAAGTTTCTATTTTGTTTCCCGTTTGCAATTCCCTAAGTCTCCAGTGAGGTCACAGACTCTCCCCCTCCTTCACTCTTTGCCCCATATCACAAGTTTAAGCCACATTGCAGCAGGCTCTTTAGTCACCTTTTACAGACTGACCATACATACTTCAGCGAAGTTTGGGGGCTATAAATTCAAGACTACTGACTTACTGCATGCAGAGAACACCATCCTTTCCTCAGGCACAGTTACAAAAAGCAGAATAACCCCAGTGAAGTTATGCACCAGAAAAGACTTCTACTGGAAAACAGGCATCCGCCTTCCAAGGTAGGAAAATTCACAGCTTGCTGCAACCCACAGATACAGGTAGCATGGATAGGACTAAAGATAAAAACATTCTAGCAGGACCCACAGCTAAGGGCCTCATATGAGCCACAATTCAGCTGGACTCTTGCTGGAATCAAGAAACTGCACCCCATCAGACTGAGATAAAATGTAGTAAGACACACACATCTGAAACTCAGCTTCTCTGCTTGTAGCAGCCATAAGCAAGCAAATAGCTATGAGAAAACACACGATCTTTCCCATTTTGGGGAAGAGATCTTGTTCCCATATAGCCTCTGCTACAAGACTGCAGAAGAGTCAGTCTCACACACTGAAGAGCACTATCTACAAGAGATGCACTGAACTAGGTTTCTCCAGTGCCATTTAAGAGATTTTTAAGAGACAAAGAGTGGTGTCAGATAGTGATAAACACAGTTAATAATAAAGAGAGGAAGGATGGACCCGGAATATATTCATTCCCCCAAAGAAGTGCTGCCCTTACTTTGTTGATGTGCACAAGGAGATCCGCCTGCTCCTCTCTGTCATCCCCATTGCTGTTTTGGGACAATGAGTCTCGACTAGGGGAACGGGAAACAGAGAAAGACTCCAGCTGACGTAAGTCAAGCATGGACTTCACAGTCATCTCGATGTTGCTGGTTGGCTGGGACCAGCGCCCACGCTGCCGGGGCATCTTGCTCACTGCTGCCTCCGAGCGCTGGATCGCCGCTATCTCCTTCGCCTGAAGAAAATGGAAAGACAGACACACTTAGGGACAGAGTTCTCCTGATACAAAGACAGAAGAGAAAATACAGGACCCATGGCAAAACAAATATAACCATCTCGCTAAAAACTCCAAAGCTTTCTGTCAGTTAAAACCCCTGCCTTGGTCCCAACAGCATCAGGGTAAAGATGATACTCTTCTATTGTGGCTTCTTATGCAACTGAACATTTAAATACCTCACTCAGATCCAAGTATATGATCAGTTTCAGCCCTACATGTCATTCAGGTCAGAAAGGCGGGAGGCTGAGGTATAACATCTGATATAAAGATCCCAAATGTATATTTAATATTATGCAACACAGACAAGATACAGCTAGTCAATGCATGCACGTGAAACAACAGGAAAGTGCACGTGACCCAAATCTAGCAATATTAATGGGGTATAAATCAACACGACAAGATTCTGCTGCACTCAACAGTAATGATAAATAGGCAGTTTTTCATCTGGACTAGTATCTCTTCCTGATTATCTTTCAAGATGTGCATTTCTCTTAACTTCTGATTTAAATCGTACATTCCATCAGGTAGTGAAACAAAACCCTACACAGCTACGCATACTCCAGATCTGAAGATGAGGCAGCTTTTCCACACAATCATATTTTTGTGCTGATTTCCTGGAAGCTGACTCTTAACTACACTCTACTTTGCCATTCCCAAAATCCTTCTTCATATAGACACTTCTCAGGGGTTTCCCACTGCAGCTGCACTCTTCCCCCCAGTGAGAATTGAATTTTTAACCTCCACGGGGAATTCTTTTCCAGGTTCCTTATGTCAAGAAATACAGCTGGAAGGCCTAGCAACTCACCCTCCTCATTTCCCAGTGGGAGAGGCTTCTTGAGAGGCTAAGGTCCGTATCTGAAAGGAAAAAAAAAAAAAAAAAAATTACCTAATTGGCATCCTTGACCAGCAGTCAGCCTTTTGAAGATCTCTCAGACCAACTACCAAATCCTGTTATCTAAAGGTTACTGGAGAGATAGTGTTTTTATGAAGTGTTTCTACTGACTTGCCAGATCCACTGCAGAACACTTGCTGTAGTGCAGTGGATCAACAAAGGTTTCAGGGGAAAACCCCTTCTCCAACACACTGCAAAATCTATGATAAAAGTATGTCACAGCAGTAATTAATCTCTACTGTAGGTTTTATCAGGCATCCCTAGAAGCCTTGGTGAGGTCTCTTGGCCTCTTCAGACTTCCAACAGCCTGCAGACCCAAACCCAGGATAATAATTCAAAATTTCTCTGGCAACTGGAACTAGCAAGAACCTTGGCAACTGAACAGCTGAATAGGGAATTCAAAACCCTATGCCACTGTGTATGTCAGAATGGGCACCTCCACGTTATCTGTTGGTGTCAATTCATCTATGTCTGCCTTGTTTTTCCTCCTTCCACCAGCATTTCATTATCCCTAGCCCAGCATTTCTTGTCTATGCCCCACCTCACATCCATGCCATTTTTCTCTGTGCACACTCCTCTCCCAGTTATACCTGAGTCTTTCTCAGCGTTACAGTTCGACTGAATACGGAAAGACTGCAGCCCACGTAACTCGTCTTCATCGTTCCCATCATCTTCACCATCCTTGTCACTGTCTGATGAGAGCACGGGCACGGATGATAGGGCCGAGATGGACTCGTGCCTGGGAGGCAAAGGTGGAAGGAGTATTACGGTCCGTCTCAAGAACTCCACACCATTTCAATCCATAGCCCAGCCAGTCTGCCACCTTCCCTCACCATCCAGAGCAGAGGACAGGCTGCCACATCACTCTAAAACAAAACCCACCTCTGAAAAAACAGAGCAAGACAAACCCTGCACAGACGTGCGCAGAGCCTGCCACAGTAACCATCTCATGCCCCGATGGATGGATGGATGACAGAACTCAGATCACAAGTAAAGAAGCCAGAGCAAGTCAGGTGAAACTGAAACTTGACCTTCCAGTTGAGATCCTGCCAGTTCAAAAGGATGGTAAAACCTATTTGGAAGGCAAGTATTTTTCCCATCCTTAAACATTTCCTCCCTGGAATTATTTTACACATCAAAAACATCACAAAGATAGTTCCTGCTTTACATCAAGTAGGTATTTAGCACATCATCATGCAAGAGACAGGTTCACATCAAAGACTGTACCAAGCAGAATCTGCATGCACAGCCCACTCACCACCCGAGTGCTGTGTTGTCTTGTTCAGCCTTAAGGCCCAAGGAATAATGTAAAACATACCTTGGACAGATCTTTAATGAAGTGCCTCAGATAAGCATTCCCATGCAGACCTCAGATGCACTCCAAGTACAGAACTCACCAATACCAATTAAGGACACTTAGCATCATACTCTATTTTCCTTCTCTTTTTTCCTTTTCCCTCTCCTCTCCTCATCCCTTGCATCCACAGAATCAAATGAACTAAACCACTTTGGACAAGCTGAACAAAATAAAACACAATTGAACAAATGAAGAATCCCTAACAAACAGAGTAGTGCCCATTCCATGGCCTTGAGCTAGAGTGCCAAATGCACCATCAGTTACTTTTACAGGATATCGTGGCTGGTGTTGAGTGCCAAGCATTATTCACAAGATTAAAAATAGCTTGTCCTCAAATACAGGGTAGCCTGGCCAAGGACCAAGTTTCCTTGCAGCTGACATAAAGCAGGCAGTACTAGAACATGGCAAGTAGTAGCTATGGCACTTTAATCTGGTCTCTTCCCATGCAATGGCAGAACTTTAATTTGTATTTATTAGGAGTGGCTGAGCAGTAATTACAGGCGCTTTTAAAAGAGTTTTGAGATGTTCTGCAAAAAGAAGAGTGAAACTGATAGGTCAGTCAGTAGATTCCTCAATTGAAAGAGATCCACGTTAGTTGCTCTTATCTACTTTTGCTATTCAGATCTGTTGGTCTCTTCATCTTTCCTAAGGTCTTCTGGTATGTCCACTTGTCATCCTCATGCTCTCATGCCTGAGCAGGGGAAAATTATCAAAGCTTCTACAGCACCTTTGTGGCTCTGCTACCATCTATCCGATGAGGTATTTATACTCACAAAATTAATACTGACCACCTTATATATCAGCAACTTCGACAACGGCTTTCAGCTTGTGTTCAAAGTTGCCGGTATAGAGTTTATTGAGGTAGAAGGGTTGGTTTATTAGGATTAACATTTAACTGGTTGGATACCTTGCTACTGGCTAGGTGATGTGGCAAGGCAAGGTTATGCATCTGTTAACTTCCTGTACATGCTGTTTGCAGTGTAAATGGAGAAGGGAGGAATGCTATCCATGTGTTTTATGTTACAAATAAGAAAATGGTTTCTGACTGTCAGGTGAGGCAACATTAGAAAGGAGAAGAAAAAAAAATAGTTCCAAATCAAAGGAGCTCAAAGGAGCTGAATAACAGAATGTAAAACATATTTTGGAAACTGAATTGGCTTCTTTCATCGTCACAGGAAGTGCCAAGCAAATTATAGTCAGATGTGTTCAGTAAAAATATGGGGTTGACTTGTATTGTTCCAGCCAGACGTCATGTTCCAGCCATCTTCCACATCCTCCACTTTATAGCTCAGATATGCTTTTCAAATTTATTTCTGTGACTTTGTAACTGAATGGGTTTTTCAAAAACATCTTAGGCCCATTTACCTGAAACCAAGATATTCCAGAAAATGAGACATAGTTTGCAAGGTCTTCAGTGTTCTACTTATTTTACTTGCCCAAGTCAGCCCCTCAATTTAGACTTCACTTCTTTCTTTCCTTGCCTTTCTCCACATACTTTGTCTTTCTTCTAAGCCATTCCATTCCACAGATCTCAAGACTCCACAATTCCTGTTCATGTTTAGATGGAAGCAAGAGTAAGGTAGGAGGAGGTTTGCATCATGGGAGCTGCTTCCAAATAAGCCCCATATAAGAACATTCTGAAAAGAAAAAGTTACGACTGCAAGGTTCAGCTGAATTTCTGTCGAGAGCACATTCAGCCAAACCCCAACAACCAACGCATCATTACACAAAGTAGCTATTCCAGAACAGCATGTATTGACTTGCCTGGATAACCCTGGGGAAGAAGGAAGAACAGCGCAACCCCCTGCTCGATATGCCTTACTCAGGACTAAGGATTTTAATTGTCCTTGCTCTTCTCCTCTACCCTTGCAAAGAAACTCTCTCATTTCAAACCTATACACGTTCCTTGTTCTGTGGAAACAGCAGAGCTGGTAGCACTTCAGCTCCCCTCATTTCCAAGTATGTGGTCAATGGCCGGACCTCAGTTATAAAGTCTTAGGACATATATATTACTTTAAAAGCACTACACGTCTTGATTTAGTTCTAACTCCATGAACATCAGGTAGGAGGCCACCTTGTTCTTTTGCACATCTTGAATTCAAGGCTTCTCTCCTGCCCCACTCCCCGCTTAAAAACAAACAAACAAACAAAACACACAGGAATGGCAGCTATTCCTTTCAGGAGGTTTGTTATCAGCACTGCCACTCTGACCTCATGCTAAATCCTTGGCTTTATGGGTTACTTATCAAAATCCAACACCTGATGAGGGATGCACGCTGGCAGATTTCTTTCCTCCATAAATGCCTCACGGCGTTAAAAAGAAAGTTACCCTGCTCTCCCTCGCAGAAAGATCGCAGCGCTGCTGACCTTAGAATTTCCCTGGTATGAAACTGCAGTAGCTCAGCACAGAATCAGGAACCAGTTTTGATCTGGCATCAAAAGCCCGATCCTGAGCCCTGGGAACTGCGTAGTTTCCCTGGCCTGACCACAGCCTCCCTGAGAACTGATAAGCAACTCTTCTTCCCAAGTAAATCAAAGGGCACACAGCATTTCTTTGGCACACAAACTAGTTTTAGTCAATATAATTTGGATAACATTTCTGTCTTTTGCTTTTTATGCTAGAACTTCAAAGGCAAGTCACAAAAAGTAACTTTAAAATTAAAAATTATATAAATAGTCTGCTAAAACAAGGCTTTAATCCCTGTAAACATTTCACAGTAAAATCAATTTTAAAGCTTCATTCCAAAAATTTGAGACAAAGTTTTCTGAGCAAAAAAAATGCATACTTGGATCAAAATCAAAACTATGTTAAAAGGTCTTTCCACAATTCCTTTTCTGAAAACAGTAAACACCTCAAAACCAAACAGCAAGACAAACTGAGCACAACCTCTATCATCTCAAACAAGCAAAGCTCCTCGTCTTTACCAGATAAGCTAAGTTCGTGTAATGAGAGGCAAAATCTGAAGTCTGTCATGGAAGGACATAGGCTCATGGAGGTGAGATCAGTTCCAAGGGATTTGGTGTCCCATGCAGTGAGTCAGAAATTGTCCTGTGAGGAGACTTTAGCCTCTCTAGAAGCACTAGGAAGAACTAAAGGGACCAGGACTCCAGTTAGGAGAAAAGGTTGGGTTGGGGAGAGGTTAGGACAGAGGTTTATAAAGCCATGGGGGCTATGGACACGCTGGATGCAGAACTCTTGTTCAGCAGAGCTTGCAACATGAGCACCAGGGAGTTTGAAATGAAACCGGCAGGAAAGTGGTTTAAAACAGACAGAAGGAAAATGCTTCCTTCCGCAGACAGCAGTGACTGAGTAGCCACTCGGTAGCGACCCTGTCACTAAAGGGGATTGCAGAAGCAAAGAATATTAGCAAGTTCAAAAAGAAATTATACTAATTCATGGACAGTGGGTGCATGAGCAGCTGCTAAAGGGCAGGGGCAGAGAAGTACATCCTAACATCCCTAATTCAGTGATTCCTGAAGCTGGAGGAGCAAGGGGCGAGTGGATTGCGGAGGGGCATTCAGCAAGTCTCACCCAGCGTCCCCAAGCAGCTCCTGCTGCTGCGGCCGCTGAGGCAGCAGTGTCCTCACATGGAAATTTCAGCTCCCCACGGCCTCATCAGCTGCGCTGTGGTTCCTCAACGTTATTTTGATTATTTATCTTGTGATACCCCCACACTATGAAGCTAGCAGAATGCATTATCCCCAGTACATTCTAACTACACCATTCTAGATACAATCACATTTAAAAATGACACATCACCAGGCAGGGAACTTTCTTGCATTATATTCTTATACTGTATCATGAGTCCTTCTGAGGCAGTCTTGCACCTCAAGGCACAACCCCGCTCTCCTCTGCAACCTACCCGCAGCTTGGAAACACAAGCAGAACAGGCACAGGACATCTAAAAAACATTCTTACTCAAGTTCCTTTCTCTTCTCCCACCTCAGTAAGACCGGTCCCATTGGCTCTTCCTCCATAGTCAGTCCCAATCCAAAACGCTCTGGCACTAAGTCTTTGCTGATATCCGATGACCACAGCGGTCGATCAAAACTTTGAGGAAGAGCTTGCAAAGTTGACCAGACAAGGAGGTTCCAGGCTTGCAAACAGGCTACCAAACGAGTTCATTAAAGTGCTGGGGTTGGCGTGGCACTAACACCGCCCTTCAGCAAGGGCCTGTGACGGAAACTAGTCTCACCTAACGCGGAAGAGAACTGGGATTATCTGTCACGGGTTGTGCCTCAGTAAGGCAAGGCTGCAGCTGCTGGATCCATGGAGCCTGCTATTTAAAGCACATTGCTTGACAGCTCCAGAGTTTTGGCTAGAAAAAAAAAAAACTCCCCCAGCATCACTACTGAAAGTGCCCATTAGACAACAGACGTTTCAAGCATGAGCAGACCAAGATTTTCCCCAGATAAAAGTATGCAGACAGACTTGTTCTGACATACTTTGCGCCCAACGGGAAGGGAAGGTCCTTATGATACTTTAACAACCCACGCGTGACGTCCTGCTTTGGTACTTTTATATCCAGAACTCGACTTCTAGCCATTTGGAGAACGAAAATTGTGGGACACAACATAAAAACAACAACCACCACCACCACCACCTTCGAATTCTTTTCCTCTGCTTTGCTCCCCCATCAGCTTGGTGAGGATGGCAGATCCTCTCCTTCAGTGCTTACAGCCAAAAGAGTTTCAATTAATTACTAACTGCAGAGGAGCCAAATACTTTACATTAGCAGTCCACAATCCCCTGTCACTCTTGTTCAGTTTAAAACAGGGACTGTGTTTAAGTTCCACTTTTTTAAGGAATGGTCACCAGATAAATTTACAACTATTCAGTTTGCTGGCTGTAGCGGGTTTTTTTGTTTGTTTGTTTGTTTGTTTGTTTTAGATATCCTGTTTAGTGAGGGGGAAAAAAAATGATTTGACTGACAAGAACTTTTATCAAAGTTCAATATTTTAGGTGACCCTCTTTAAATTGTCCTGCAAATATGTAACAAAGAAACAGTACGACTGTAAGGAGAAGCTCAGACTTGTTCAGAACTACGATCGGCGTGGCAAACGTATGGATCACTGATGAATTTCAGTACCACCACTGCAGAAAGTACCCTTTAAATTTTCAGCCAATACCCAGAGAACTTGATTCATGAAGGATCAAGGCCTTCCTAGCCGAAACTGTTCTGCACCATTTCTTAGTACTGCTATGTAAGCTTCTTATTAAAAGTTTCTGATCACATCATTAGAACAAACTAGGAGTCAAGTGGCATTGCATACACATTGCGATGAGTGAAGCAACACTGGGCGAGCCTGTCTGGAGGATCACGGTTAGACTTCGGCATTCAAAAAAAGGACATAAACACATCAAAGAACAACAATAAACACAACACAACACGCTAGAGCAAACCCAACAGAAGAGTAAGAAAACTTTTGGAAGACATTAGCAGTGAAGGCAACAGAAATTTTACAGTCCAATTCCATTGCTCATCCTTTTCATATTAAATCCCCACAAAGTCTGCAAGATCCTCTCAGCCCACTATGCTCACCTGATAAGTCCAGCTGTCTTGTGTGGAGGAGACTTTTCTGCCTGCTTCCCCCTCTGTCTCATGTCAGACAGTCGCTGCCGCATGTTGATGGTCATCTCTGAGCTCAGACGCCATATGAAGATGCAGCTGAAAGAGGGAAGGTAAAGCCGAGGTAAAGTCTAGTTCTGTTCACAGTGATCATCAACTGCCCTTGCAGAGGCAAACAAGAGCCCCTCCAATGTGGCAGGGCGCAGTGACATAAGCAGGCCTTCCTTTATGGAAACTCAATCTCATCACAAGCCCCTCAACAAAAAGGTCAACCTGCCTTCAAAGACTTCCTGTGGGCAAGAGTGACTGCACAAGTCTTTGCACAGCCTCATGCCTCAGCCCAGACCTTTATTTCTCTGCCTGAGCAGCTGCTGATGGAAATGCCATACAAAGACACTCCAGAGTGAGCAAGATAAATGGAGCCTTTTGCACAATGTCTTTTGCATCCTCTAGCAATGATTAAGCTGCAACCTCTACTGCAGCTCCTTCTTTGGGCAGGACCCTCAGAATGCCTCTCCCATAGATTTGATGTGGAATTGCAATGATTGAGATTATGCTGCACCATTTTTTTAGTTGGTCAAGGTATTCCTAATACGGCTCTACTCAGACTACCTCCATGAAACTTGGACAGAATCTGAGTGAACTTAGTTTTTCTTTGAAATTTAACCTCACTGATAACTACTACTTTTTACCTCATCCATCTTGCCTGTCAAGCTGGGTATAATTACACAAATGAATCTCAGGAAAGTCACTCTCACTTACCGAAGTCACACACTGATACGGAGACTTCCCCTCCACAGTGAGAACGTTGTCACCCTCCTCCCCAGCTTTTAGCCAAAAGACAATTTTGCAGCTCTGCTTCTGGGAGCTATGGTAACCTAGGGCAGTCAGCTGCTTCCCCTCCAACAGCAGCTCTATTGAACACAGCAGCAGCTACAATTTGCTGCTGAGACAATACTGAAAAGCAGGAAATTCAATTCAGAAAGGCAGCCTGGCCAGTTCATTTATCCCACGCCCACAACCATCAAACCTAGAGATAAGCAGCACCAGTGTGAACTTACCAAAACAGGAGCGTTCAGCACAAAGCAGGGCACAAGTATGCTCCCACCTACCCCTTCTGCGGCAGCTGTTTCTCCTTGCAGTACTTTACTCAAACAGTTCCCCCAGACCTTGTGCTTTCTTCACCTCTCATTTTTCTTTCAGTTCTCAGTTTTATTCTTTGCACATGCTGCCGTGTGCAACAAGACTATTTTCTCTGTTCTTCCTTGAAAGATGTTCTTTTACCTCTCCTTACAACTAAGTTCTCAGTGAATCCCTTCTTCACTTCCCATCTACCTCCTCTACACCCCTGGTGAAGAAAATGACTCCTCCTCCCTCATGAATACAGACAACAAGGCCTCCTTGCACAAAATCACCAGGATCACTGCGCAGCTCATGCCTGTGTTTCTGGAAGGCACAGGCATTTTTAAGCTTTTGGGGAGCTGATTTAGCTCACTACATCAGCAGAAAGGTCAGACAGCGGAGGGGAGGGTGCTCATTTAGTGACCTGGATCAGCTTGTTGAGGGCTCAGGCAAGCACCCAACTGGCTTACGGGAGCAAAGAAGAGGATGATATGGACAGGAGCAAAGAGAGAGCCCAGAAGGCTGCCTGGGAAACCTCACCCAGCAGCACCGCAAGGCCAAGTTTTGGCACCACTGTTCACAGATGTCCCAAGCTGCATTACACTGCCCAGCTCCCAGCTCTGGGTGCTGCCAAGGGACCAGGCCACATCCTGGTCTCCTCCTAGCTGCTTCCTAAGTAATATTAGTAGGAAATTGTCTCTGAAAACCAAAAGGGATGCACTTTACATAAGTTTCTTACTTCATCAAAGGATGATAAAGCTCTGCAACCTCTGCCAACAGCTCAGATTTAGGATTCTGAAAGTTCTGAGATTGCTTTGAACTTTACAAAACCCCCCTCCGAAGAAGTTCCACCTTCCTCCTGGAGAAACCTTTGACCTAATATGAGGGAGCACAGATAAGCAAATCCCTCTTACCTGTCACCAGAAACAGAGATCAGATGTTTGCAGTCATTACTGAATTTCATCCCAGTTACAATCTCTGTATGAAACAAAGAGCAGAAAAAATTTTGAATTATTCTAATAAGCAGCATAGATCAATAGCCGAATAGTCTTTCTAGGCTTATATCAGCTATTCCAAATCTGATCAAAGTCAGCATATTTCCTGGGTCAGTATGCCCTTTTCACCATAGCCTTCTAAGACAGGATCCAAGTTTAACATACAAAGGGTTTCACACAGCAAAATGAGCAAAATGAAAAACTGAAGTCTCTTCTTACCTAACACAGAATAGTGCCTGCAGGGTAGGGGCTGAGGATACATCATTAAATATATATATATATAATATATATATATAAAGAAAAAAACCCACACAACAAAAAACATGCACAGACCTCTTTATAGGCCCTTAGAAAAACTGTATAAACAAAATAAAATGTCTGGCAGGCAGCATATATATAAAAATGATATTATATACAAAAATATGCATATAAATAACGTGTGTGTGCATGCCTGTGTACATACCCACCCACATGTGTGTTTTTTTTTTAATATTTTCTATATTAGGAATGCTACAAAGAAGCAAAAATTGCCATGGAATAAGTTATTGAAACTTCAACCAGCTCTAAGTCAGCCAAAAATAGCCATAATGCTTAAAAATTTGGAGAAGAGCGAGAGGGATATTCAGAAAGCTTTGACTAGTACTATATGCTACTACTATCTAGCCACCATTAAAAAAAGCCATTTCCAGAAGTTTACACGACTTACCTGAATGCCCATACATGGTAGCAACACACTCGCCAGAATAGAAATCAAAGATGGAGAGGTTCTTGTCAGAACAACTGGTTGCAATATAAAGACCAGACGGGTCAGTTTGCACCTGTTTAGGAGACAAGAGAAGGACAAAGACCTAGTGAGAAAGTGCCTTCAAGCTGCATAAAACATTGTCTGAACATAATGGATGGTGGCAGATTCACCACAGAAAGGAAATTCAACTTGCTTTGGCACTCAGTCCAGAGAGCAGAGTATTTTGGAAAATATTTTATATTGGAAGTTTGTATTTTTCATCACTGTTTCAACATATCTATCCGACGAAAATGGGAATGTCCTCTGCTTGGCAGTGCTTAGGTTGTCTGCTCTTCCCACCTTAAAGACCCATTTGCTTGAAGGAATCCCAGCAGTTCTAGAGGGCTGAAGGCTGCAGCCAGTCCCTGCACCACCCAGACGGAGGCAGCTGGGAACCACAGGGAAATGGTCTCATCTTCCTAGCAGGGGCTAGTAATAGTCAGCAGCAATGCAAGGTGCTTCCACAAAACTCTGATCTAGGCTATTCAGCATCCAAGAACAGAAAGCTGCCAAGCCGATTAGACTATTAAAACTCCCTGCAACCTTATCAGAGACTACAGGTCCTTATATTAAATGGTGTCATGACCATGAAAGCACCATCACCAGTCTGAACTGATTTAAACCACTTCCCCATTTCTTTTAAGTATTGCGGTCTTATTTTCAGTGGAACTCATTTTTTTTCTGTCTTAGGTTCAAAAAAATCAGAGCCAGGAGAGTTAAGTGAAACATTAAAAGACTTCTGTCCTGGAGATCTGAAACCAACAAAGAAATCCACATTGCAGGAAAAAAAAAAAAAAAAGTCTTTGCTGCTGATATGTTTTATTTATATAAAGATCCCTCTATTCTGTAGAGCATCCAGGAGCCATAAGCGTTTGTTTTAAAGGATGGAAGGTGTTAAGATAATTTGTTATATTGCTTTGTTGCTCTATCTTCTGCTTCATATATCATTGCTTGGGTTCTAATTGCTAATTGTGATGTATGTTATGATCTCAGAACAACACTCCACAAAAGTTTAAATTCCAGAGACAACTGTAATTCCTTTGTTACATAACTGCCCTAAAAAGAATAAAGTGACATTAAAAGATACAGAGATGCCTTGTGTTTGCTTCTTATGAAAAAACAACAATAAATTATATTAAAAACCAAAAATCCAACTCCAAGAAATAATACATGGTTCATGGTCTTAAAAGATATAATCAAGCACCTGAGCTTATTAGCAATAAAATACAGCACTTGTTTTTCATTTTCATTGCCTTGGCTTAAAAAAGCTGTTGGGGATGAAAAATTATATAGATGCAGGGCAGAAGGTATTTTTCTATACCTTTTTGTATAGAAAAAGAGGTGACACTGAACACTGTGATTGGTTTGCTTTTCTCCTCTTCTTACCCAGTTATTTAAGCCCATCAATAATATTGCTGGTCTGCTCAGCTGAACTAAACACTTACTTTAGAAAAAAACATCAGTGAAAACAAATATGACATAAAATTGCTCAGCTGAACTAAACACTTACTTTAAAAATTAGAAAAAAAAATCAGTGAAAACAAATATGACATAAAAGATGCTTGTTTGGAAAGCTGAAACATTTTTTGGCCATGTCAATTGGTGTCTCCCCTTTAAAGAGAGGAACACAACTCTTCCATGCCACATCCCAATATGCTGGTGCTGCTCCTCATCGTTCATCTTTAACACACCTGGTTTGCCAGGGGAAGCAGTGGGAGAGGTGGCTGCGCTACCACAACGCCAGGACACACTGAGCAGGCAGGTGACAAGGAAATACAGAACAAGTGTGTCCAAGCAGTGTCTGCTCAGCGTTCCACGGCTGCCTGAAGAACACAGGCTTTCCTGGGCAGTTCCTCCTTCACTTCATTTACTCTTGGAGCACTTCACGTGCGACTGTTCTGGGGAAACCCCTCTGACACTTCACTGATTTCACAATTTTTTCCAACTCTGATCAATAGACAACTCTAGCTTATAAATCCTAAGGAAAATAATTAAGAAGCCCTTCTGGAATATTAAGTAAATGAAGAATAAATTACATTTTGGCTTCCCAGAAGCACTTAAGGATCTGCAAAGCAGGTGCCAAGGAAGTCTTCTATATTTTAGAGGCATTCGAGAAAAACACCCTTGACTTGTGAGATGCAACATGTAAATGGGCTAGATTTTCTCTTCATGGATATTGATGCAGTTCTATTTGCTATCACAAGTGTGGACCTTTGACTCACTTCAGACACAGGACAGAGAGAAATTAAACATCTGCTTTGTCATTTATTCATTCATTTCATGTTTTAGTCTGAGAGAATCCAAATGTATTACCAGCCTGTAAGGATGGAAATAGAAAGCAGCAAGATAAGGGACAAAGTATAGGCCAAGCAAGACAAAGAGTTTCTCCATTCAGATTTGTAGTTCTTTTTTAGTTAAATGTTTTGCATTCCCCAGCTAAGAGCAACTCTTGGCTAAGTTTACTTAAAAAAAAAAAAAAAAGTCAACTTTGTATAGCTGGAAAGCTCATGCTTTCTGAGCCCAGTGTCTGAGACCATTTGAAAATATCTACTTAAAAATTAACGCATGTTAATTAAGAAGCAGAGTTCAAGTAAACCACAAAGTAACTGACAAGGAAAGTTCAAACATTGTTACAGTCTGGATCTATCCCTAAATTTGAGCCCCAAACCAGACCTGGGAATAGGAAAAGGGAGAAAAAAAGTGAATTTGTAACAGCTTACTTTGATGAGAGTGCCATCTTCACCTTGTGATCCCTTGTAAAGCTTCTTCTGCTTCCCACTACTTATGTTGAAAACCCTTAGGAGGATATAAGATAACAGCACTTATTATACCAATGCACTGGACTTAAGATAACATCGCTCATTATGCCCATGCACTGCTCTGTGGTTCTTATCACCAGGATCCTTTTCTGCTCCTCATGCCAGGCCTCACTGCACATGAGACATAGGGCACAGGGCCAAGCTACAGGAAGAGAAGCGGTGACGTCTGTGAACGACAGTCACCAGGCATTCAAGTGGTGTAACAATCAAACTGGAAAGTAATACAGCGTTCCAAGACTGAACGATAAAATACCAAGCAGATTATCTGAATTAAAAGTTAAGGTTGATTCTCAGGCTGATAACCAAGAACAAATTTGGCACCCATGGCATTGAAGGAGAAGTCAGATGGGGGACAGAAATTCTTGTTCACAACCTGCGGCTCCTTCATACTGAAGGACAGACCAAGACTCTCTATTTACATTAGGATACAAAACCAGGTGACATTGAACTATGTCCAAAACTCTCAGCATCTGGCTAGCATACTTTAAGAGACTCTTCTGTGGTACTAGAGTCTTCTTAGTTTTGGAGATGCAGGTAGACATATAGATTGAAAAAATGGATAAAAATGTAACACAGAGTAGTGTCACTCGTCAAACAACAGTCAGTCACATCTGGCTCAGTTTTAGGTTCCTCTGATCCCAGCTATTTCACAGGAACTCACAGCATCTCCCAGGACAAACATTTAAAGGCAAAAATTACCACTGGGCAGGAGTTCTTGCCACATAGCTCCATGATGTGTTAAGGCATGTATACCTGCTGTCCCCGGGACAAAGATTTTGCTGTTCAGAGGAACCCAGCAAAAAGCTCAGAGTCACATGAACATTCAAGCATATCCACAGCTTCTCATCAGTAAGGGAAAAAGAACAGTTTATATTTCAGAGTTTACATCAGACTGAAATGCTGTAGTGAAGAACCTAGAAGAACAATGATGTGAGGGAGGGAAGGCCTTGGCCAATTCAGTTACGACCGCAACAATATTTTTGAGACAAGTGGACTAACCTGATGTTACGGTCTTGGCAACCAATAGCAGCATATTTCCAGCTGGGGTCCACATCCATGTCATACAGAGTGGTCTTCCTAACAATGTGATGTGTTCGGGTAAACTGAACCCCTTCTCCTGTCTAAGCATGGAGTAAGAACTGTGTCAAAGTCAAGGAGCTAAACCATTATTTAAAACTTGTAAATAGAGACAAGTCATTTCAGGCAGCAAGCACAAACTTCCCACTAAAAAGGCCTGCTGGGAACAACCAGGCCTGGAAACACAATGCAGTCATCTCTTCCACCACTCCTTACAAGAGTCCTCACAGAGAAAGAGGAGCAGATATCCTAACAGTTCTTTAAATTGCCTCCTGGTAAGAAGAGAGTTCAGACTGGAAGCAGCTGCATGAGTCACAAAACAACTTCTCCTAACGCAATCTCTTGCATTGAGCCACAACAGAAGATAGCAAGAATGAAATAACAGCAAACTCGCAAGAAGAGACTGATATGGGTCTTTAAAGTGGCTCCTTTGTAGAGAGGAGATTAGAAGAAGTACACAACAGCTGTAATAACATTACCTTCTGCGCAGTGCGGAAATAAATACTTTTGTCTGCCCCACAGCTGATCATTCGCACTTTCCCATCATTAGCTGGAACAAAGAGACAGGAGTCCATCAAAAGATAAATAAAGATAGGAAGATAAAGGAGGTTTTTTAAGGAAGGTTAGACCTATATGGTTGGTGATTTACTGCAGTCCTGACCAGCTAAGATTCAACTCCTACAACACTACAAGGCTGCAGCAAAGAAGCCCCTTCTCAAGAATTTGTTAACATTCAAAGCACTTGTTAATGTTCAAAGCACATGAGATCTTAATACAGAGGCCTCATGCAAAGATGAGAATATAATTGTGCCTTCCTCCCCATTGCTATGCTCATGTTCCTGTTCTCTTCATACTGGAGCACTTCTTAGCAATGTGGCAGGAAAAGAAGCAGCTTCAGGCTACATATGAGCTGAAAATAGACTACAGGCACTTCACAGTCCTCTAAGTCAATGACACGTTTTTTTGCTGTCCTTTCTTACTGAAGGGTCAGACTCTCTATCTTCCTCAAGCACTCTTGTAACCAATCTGCTCCTTCAAGAGAACAAAATCTGATAAAATTCAACGTAATGAAAAATGATCCAGTATCACATGAGTCCCTGTACCCGCTGAGAGCAGGACTGCGTTTAGCCCACACACCTTGCACACTGGCCTTAGCTGCCAGGGCCTGCAGTGCGTTCCCCTACACCCTAGGGCTTCAGCCAGTTGTATTCCAGGCCAGCTCACTGATAAGATAGAGCTACCAGACCTTGACTGGCCTTGGAGGTCCTTGAGAAAATGATGGAAGAAACCTTAATGGAAGCTCCCCCAGACAGCTAGGAAGCCTCAGCAGGGTCCCTGCCTTTCACTTCAGAGCCGCTTTTAGCTGAGGCTCTTGTCCTTGGACATCACTTGAGTTACTGCCTGTGGCAAGACTGCAGCCATACCTGTGTCTGACCATGTACCCAGCTGACCTGATTTGAACTCAGACCAGCCTTATCAGGACAGACTTGCCTGGTGATCACTGATTGCCATGTTGATCATGGCTACTGCCTCTGAACCTGATTCTGACCCTGATTTGCTCATTTGTCTTCCTGGCTTGACCTTGGACCTGCTCTCATCACTGTAGTTTTGCCTGGTGACTATGATTGGACCTGATCTGCTCCACCTTTCCCAGGTACTGTGGGACTGCCTTCCTGCAGTCAAGTCACTACTTCTGCGTGTTCCCTCCTGTCACCCCCACATCATGGCTCCCCTCTCCTTGGGGAATAGCAAGCCCTTGCTGCTCCCTGGCAATAGTGCAGTACACCACACTGATGTCTTTGACCAGCAGCAGCATCTCTGAGCACTGGAACACTGCATTCCATCAGGAGGAATGGGAAGTCTAACACTGTTCTGTGGTGTTAAGTGCATTTCTGATCAGTTAATACTGAAACAGATAATTTTTGAAGACGACATTGCTCCATGGTTCTCCTTACTGAGATAAGGCCTGGGTGTAACCATGTTATATCAAATAAGGGAGTGAATCATTGAAGAAAACAGTTTTCTAGAAAAAATACCGGGAAATTCAGCCAGGAGATTTCTTTTTTTTTTTGTTCTCTCTTTTTTTTTTTTTTTTTAATGGGAGAAGGAGGGAGAAGAGAGTAAAAAAACAAAAGGGAAAAGAAGGTATCATCATATATCACCTTCTGTTAGGACTGCAACTACAGAGGATTACAAAAGAGCAGTACCAGCTTCAGCCTGGCCTACCCCAGTGTTTAAGCAATTAAAACTGGTTCACAGCTACAATGGGACAGCAGCACCACTGAAAACCCAGCTTTTGAGGAGGCCACAATTCCCTACCTGCAAACTTCACAGCAGTGATGGAAGAGGAATGTTCATCCAGGGTCTGCTGCAGGCTGTAATCCTTTCCAGCATCCAGGACATGAATCAGCCTATCCCGACTGGCTGAGGCTAACAGCTTTAACCCTGTAAAATATTAAAGAGGGGTTTTCAGTAAAGACACCTTTACTGAAAAAAAAATTTGCTTTTCCAGTCATCATTTTAAGACAGCTTCCCCAAAATCTTACTGACAAAACATTAAGTCATAGTTAACTGCATGAACGGACAAAATGAAATGCCTCTGCATTTCATGACAACAACAGACAGAACAAGTCTGGGTCTTCATATATGATCTGCCATGGAAGAGCATGAAAAAGAAGTATATTTCAAAGTCTGGTTCCACTAATCCAAAGCTACAATTTTGTTCTGAAATCCAGGAGTAGTTCACACTCGGAATGCCCTGACACATGATGGCTGCACATTCTGTGTTGTTTACTACCACAACCATAAGCAAAAGGAAAGAATCTCCAAAGCATGTACCTGTGTCAGGTTTGGAGTACTCCAGACAGAGGATCTCAGAGTCATGGGCTTCCACCTTCAGCATTTCCCTCAAAGACTGCAACTCATATATCCTAAGGCAGAACATCATTGCAGATTGCAGTATTATTAATCAAACCAACAAGAGCTAGCTCTGAGTCTCACATGCACCCAGCCCTCATCCTGCCCCATGAGGTTACCTGAGAGTACCTATCCTGTCCCCCGAGGCCAGGTGCTCCCCACCGGGGCTCACGCACACCGTGCGTATCCCCACCTTCGTGTCCATCACCTGCACGTCAGCTTTGTCCGCGCTGCCGCCTAAGTTGTAGTCAGTGTCCAGGAGCACCTGAGTGTTATCATCTACATAGATGATTTTCATCAAGTCCTGGGGACAAAATGGAGAGAGATATTAAACTAGTTAAAGTGAAGCAAACCCCTTAGAAACTGGGCTCCCGACAAAAGAACACCCTTGCTGACCGTGATTGTGCAACTGTTGGCATGTTTTGGCTGGGAGCAAAGCACTCAGCCTCTTAGTATCATGAGGGGAAAGTTGTACATCTGTGTATTGTGATCATTCTTTGCAAGAGATTTCCCTTGGTTCTGGAAGCTATCAGATTCTCCTTCACAGAGACAAGCTCTGGGTCTAGCAATTACAACATAAGGAGAGAGAGCAGGAGCTTAGAAGACTTCAGGGAATGCTCAAGTCAGCCTATGTCTTTTGAAAACTCTCTGGCATGGAAAGCAGGAGCTTCTTTTCCACCACATGCAGGTTGCTGAGAAAGGGCCCTTGAGTCTTCCAAAACAACTGATAATGGAAGCTAACATGGAGAGGCAATCACTGGACTGTACAAGAGTCCTCATTCCTACACAGCTGGAGTGATTTAAACCTTACGTTGCTGAGGATGTTGCGGTGCAGGGCTGTGCCATGAATGTTGGAGCTCTCCGTATTCCACAGGCGAATGGTGTTGTCAGATGAACAGGTGATGAAGGAACCAGGGGGTAGGCATGACTGGTTGTTGTCCTTCACCTCCGGATACACCTAAGGTCAGGTAAAATCAACTGCTGAACGAGATCCTCCTGCACTTGGCAATCTAGACACTGTCAGCAAGCTTCAAAATAAGACCAGATGAAAAAGCTGTTCTCTGTTTTTTTAATGGACAGAGGCAGTAACGAATTCTCCTGATGAAAGCCTGCTTGAAAACCAAAGCTTCGTTCTTGCTTCAAACAAATGCTGGCTGAGCTACCCTGACTGTAAAACATCCCTTTAAGAAGCTTGCAATAAGCCAGCATCCTTTGTGTTTAATAGTTTAAAAGAACACCTCAAAGACCATGCAACAACAGCCTTGCACTACTGCTAGGACTTTCAAACACTACTAAGAATTCATAATCCAGGTAAAAAAAAAAGGAGAGATATAATTAATAAAATGCTCAAAATCAGCTCTTGTCATCTTCCTTTCTTTCCAGTTCTCCTTCTTCTGACCACTGTTAAGACACTGTTCTTATGCCTCCTTTCTTCCTCTTTCCTGAAGGAAAGCTAGCTGGGCAGACAGACTGGGTGGCAATAGCCACTTGGGAGGCTAATGCAGGATGCCCTGGTAAATAGGCTAATGGGAATTACAGTTGAAGTCTTATCACTTATTTCATTTCTTGGACTTCAGAACATTTGCTCACCAGACCTCCAACACTTTTAGAGGTCACAATAAAATCATGGGTATTTTGTAAGAGAAGCCAATGCACGCAGTTCTGCTCCTTTTTCTCTCATCTTCGTAATAAGGAGATTTTTTTCCCCTCCAGTAACACACTACATCTCAAATAATTGGTTAACCACTGCTATGCAGCCAAAGAACTGCTCCCCACCCCAGTCCAAACACCATAACCACCACTGGAAGTATTCTGAGTTGACTCTTTCTCTCCCCCTCTCTCTCTCTCTCAGCATTAACTTCTTGCATTTAAATTTGACAGCTATTCAGATGATTTCTGCAGCCACAAGCCATAATCAAATACTTGCATCTGCAGACAACATTCCCCATCTGCCGTTACCTCAATGTTCCACACGCAGGAAGAGTGGTACAGAGCAGAGTAAACCTTGCCCACTTTCTTTGGGTCTCTGACATCCCACACATACAGGCTGTGGTCGTTGTATACACAGGAAAGCCACTGGTTGGTGGGGTCAAAGGTGAGGGCTATCGTGTCTGGATACTTGGCATCAGCCATACCAGAGAAAAGCCGACTGCAAAGAGAGAACAAGAGCCAAGTTACTTGTGAATTCCTAGAGTCAGAACAAAGAGGTCAAGCTCAGATTCTGCAAAAGGGGATGGCCAGGTGAACTGTGCCATAAAAGTAGAGAGAGAAGGTTGGTTGGGAAGACCTGTCTGTTGAGCAACTATTGCAGCAAGAAGTCCCAAAAGAGGCCTGAACACCCCACGGTGAAAATCATTCCCCTTGCTGTACAGGCAAGGCCCAACCACAGACAGACATCTGGCTTTCCCTGAAAGATTAAAGAGGGCACCTGGTCAACCCTGGAGGTCACCATCATTCACCACTGCAAAGCAGCTGGCAAAACCCAAAGCGAACAGTGATCTCAAAGCAAAGGAGAACCACCCAACTTTTGGGTCTGCGTAACGGACTGCAGTTAATCGCAGGAGCTGCTCTGGCATGGGACCAAGGGGAAGAATAGGAGCAGTCACTAGCATTCAAAAGTTAAAAGCATGCCAGCACAAGGGACAAAGGAATGCTTTACTCTAGCTGATGCCTGTGGGACAGCCTTCCCCCCACACGCTTGGTGCTGCATGGAATAGCTCATGAGATGGGCAACTGCAGATGGGCAGGGCCCTTTTTAGGCCAGCTCTCTGTGGCAAATCTAACAGCAAGGGCAAAGCTGTGAGGGATAGAAAAGAACAGCCCATATCCTATTAAAAACATCAAGTCATTAATACAGTTGTGGGCAGTTCATTGTGGGCGACTGGCATCCTACAGAGAAGCTCTGGCATGCATAGGGATAATGAGTCCTGTGTTTTCCATCTTCTTTTGAAACGAAAAAAAAAAAGAGAGAGAGAGAGAAAGAAATGTTGTTGAGATCATAATAAGCCCTACAAAGGCAGGCTCAAGAGTCACATGAATATCTATGCTTGACTGACAGATATGGACACTGCAGAGAGTACTTTTAAAGGGCCAGAATACATGATTGTTTGAATTACCACTATCAAAACTGGTAACACCAAATTGAGGGAAATATTTCCTTTTCCTAGCTCTTTCACCAGTCCTCCAGAGGAGGTCTATACGGTGCTGTCTGCACTTTTCCTCAAGTTTCCTCCCCAAAGTTTAGAGAAAACTGGTTGAAACACACGAGGAAAAGAAAAATACTGCATTGCTATAGACAGGGAAATTCACTAGAACGACGGCACCTTTGCTACCTTCCATCCCCTCCCCAATACCTGGCTTCAGTCACACTCGCGATATCCGTTCCCAAGAAATGCGGCTTTGGCAGCGTGGTGACAAAGTGAAGATTCAGAGGGTTGAAAATCCGCACGGTGCCATCAGCGCAGCCACAGAAGATGTAGTCATGATTCACTGAGATGCAGTTTGCCACAGTGGTCTGAGGAGGACACAGCACACAAGAAGGCTAGTGAGCAACACGCACTCACTTCAACAAGTCACCAAACACACGGCAGAGAGAAGAGCAAACTGACAGACAAAGGAATCATGGTCAGAAGAGCTGAAGTGAGGTGAAGTTTAGCCCCCTGGAGCAAGGAAAAAAACTCAAAAGTCTCAGTTTCCTTTCTGAGGAGCTTTCCAGCCATGGTCCACCACAGATTTCAGTGGCTAGGGAAGGAGCTCCACAGGTCACCTCCCCTCCCAAAATAAAGGCACTCCTGCCAGGGGAGGTCAGCAGAGCAGCACATTTCCTCCAGCTGAGCCTCACTCTGAACATTAGTTTTGCTCCTCTGTGATACTCAGTACCATTAGCAGGGAAGGAGCACTGCACCATGTACTATCACACCAATACATTACTTGTCACAACGGAACAAGAAAGGAAAAAATGATTTTCCCCATCACTCCCATGGGGATTTGTACAAATGGCAAAAAATGGTAGAAAATGGAGCGTGGGGACAAGTGGATGAGTTCAATGCAAAACTTGTTGGACTTACTGTGAAGCTGTCTGTATTCTGAGCAAGAGTGAAAGGCAGATTTTAGAGAAGAAAGGAAAGAAAAGAAGAGGCATTTCATTTGAAAGGAAGTATGGAGATATTTTGCCTTGGTTTCAACACTCTGGATACTTTCAGGTGAATATCTTGCATTCAATTGAAAGGAAAAAGCCCTGCTGAAGTCTTAACTACAGGCCAGGCTGGTATTTTTCAATAGCCAAACCCACTACTAAATTGGGAAGTTGCATTTGAGATGCACAAGCCAAGCATGACACTGCAGAGAGGAAAGAGATCAGAATCCTCCTAGTTGTCCAGGCCACCCAGGAGGGACAACACAGAGGTTACCAAAGCTACATCAGGACACTGCTTTGCCAGCAGGGCAGTAGCTATAACAGGAAAGCTTGAGAATGGAAAAGCTTCAGGGATTAATAAAATCCCTTTGCAAAGAGGCAATAGCATTCATGCCTAGCCTCCCAACCAGCGTAAATCATAAAGTGGCAGAAACCCAAATTATCCTCCAAATCAATAACTTGCACTGCTGGTGGCTGGCTTGTGCTCTCTCAATTCACTTATTGTTGCTCCTGCTGCTTCAGCAGGCACTAACATCAGAGGACAGCAGAACACACAACTCACCCTCAACTCCACCCACTTGTCCAGCAGCCTTTTCTCGTTGAATTCACACAACAGGCCTGAGGATGTGATACAGAAGGTGCTGTCAGCCTTCTTGCCCCTTCCACATGCCACATCTGCGAAGAAGTTGTTCCTCAGCTCCCCAAGCAAACCTGAGCGACCTAGCAAGGGGACTGTGGCATTCACCTACCAACAAAAACACAATGTTAGGAAGAGAACGCAAGCACTCCAGACAGACATCTGCCCAAACACCAAGCCCTCAGGGCAGAAGTTCCTCAAACCCAGAGGGCTGAGGAGTACGAAGAGAGGAGGCGTGATGTTTTATTGCCGCAGACCCACAGGTTGCAGAGTGTGTTGGGACCGTCAGTATTAACAAGTCAGTGGAACAAAACTCTACCTTATGGTACCAAAATTTACTTTCCAAATGTATGACCCAGAGAGAGCAGATCAGCCACAGGAAGTGGAATCCTTCCATGGACAATCTGTGACTTGCATCAAATGCCAATAGAGGGTGGGTCCAGGCATGAAGTAGCAACACCCAGACAAATGAGCATGTGTTGAATACATATTGGATGCCCATTGGCAGAAGCCACTAACTAAAGGGTTAAAGCCTTTGACTGATGCTTCAGAACAACCACCACAGCCTCTTCAGATGCTCACACCCACATTAAACAGTTTTCCCAATCTCTGTGCTGCAAGGAGTGCGATGACTACAACTTCTTGTTCTGTTTTTCTTTTGTGTTGTTTGGTATATATAACTACTAAAGAAACAACATGCTGTTGTGCAACTCCAGGAATCACACCCCCTCCCCAGGATATAAGACAAGCTTTTGATACTGTTGCACCATGCAATTAAGTGCTGGAGATTGAGAGCCAGCCTTGAATCCCAGGAGGAAAGAAGAAAGGGGCTCCCAGTTCCCAAAGCAAAATCCACATTGCTGTAAGATGGAAGTGTCTGCCCACAGCTTGGCAGCTTCTCTCACCTTGGAGGTTTTGCTGTCATCTAGGTACCAGAACTTGATATGCCGATTTCCAGCAGTGACAAAGTAACTGCAGTCCTCTGAGAATGACACAGCTGTCACTTTACTTGAGACTTTGTTGGCTGCCACCACGATGTTTTTCTGGAATCATAATTGTTTACATGGCTTAATTGCTTTGCTCAGAAGCAGAGGAAGTTCAATTCAGCTACATGCATGTACCAATACTAAAGCTGCAGCAATGGAAAAAGGAGACCCAAACTACCTCCCGCTCACCCCAGCGCGAGCCAGGAGCACCGACGCGGCAGTGCAGAATTCACCCTCGCGCACATCCTGCCTCCTCACTGCCAAGGCGGAGGACGGGCCAGCAGTCACCCCCACCCGCACGGATGTGCATGCTGAGCCTTGATCTCTTGCTTTTGCAGCCACAGGGAACTCCAAGCAAATGCATTTCCCTTTCTAAACAGGGAAGGCACACGCATGCCAGCACCAGCACAGACTCTCCTAGCCTCCAGGCAGCAATGCTTGCAAGGCATTCGAGATAGGGACAGGTATTTTCCACAGGCAAAACACTAACAATTCCACCATAATTATTGTCTTCTCTCCGAGAAATAAAGCCTTATGGAAAGACAGAGGAGACAAAAGAAGACCATTTCTGCCTTACATCAAAAAGGAGAAAACAAAGTCTGCTATATTTCTCTGTACACCTCAAATAGTCAAAGAGTGCAAACGGGGGAAGAAGATGGCAAAGACAGAAAAGGAGAACGGATGCTCTCTGAAGAGAATGGCTAGATAACAGGCACTCAGTTTTCCCCCTCTCCTGTTCTCCAGGGATCAGCGGAAGTGCAAACTAAAAAACCTTCCTCTCTATCTTTGGTGAGTTTTCAAACTTGTAGTATGTGACTGACAGTAACTACTGGGGATGTTTTTACAACACTGGGGTCTTTCCCTTATGGGAGCAAGGGACCCCCACCAACAACAGGGCTTTGCTTTTTCATCACCATCAAACAACTGAGCAAGTCCCCCAGACTGGAAAGAACAGGGAAACTGAAGCAGCAGCCAAGTGGTTGAAAGACAGGCGGCAGCGAAAGGTGCAGGGAAGTACTTCGGGAGATCTGGTTTCATTTTTTTTCTCAGTTTTCTATGACTTTTGTCAAGTCAATTATCTGTAGTTTTAGTATCCAGTTTGCAAAATGCACATTTTACCTCCTGACAGAATCTGGAACACATATTTAGAGAAGCGTTCTTCAGTACAGAAGGGTGGCACAGTTCTTACCTTACAAGCTCTCATGCAAAAAAGTATGATCAGGATTACAGTAAACAAAAGACTTGCACGAGCAAGGTACAACAGAGCTGCCTGTACTCAGTCCCATACATTATGTTCCTCTCCAAGTCACTACTGGGATTTGTGTGGCTAGAAAGAACCAGGAGGCTGAACACGCACACTTTTTTACATCAATACAGGCGTCTTTGTTTTATCAGTTCGTAACGCAGCTATACAAAAAATAGCAAGCAACTTTTGCTTATGCAGGAGAGGACTAACAGGGAGGGTTTAAGGTACAGCTCAAAGTATGATGAAGCTGTTAACACACTGCATGAGCACAGGCTCACAAGCTGCACAGTACAACATTTAACACCTGTATCTGTAGTCATATAAAATTTCTCTCTCTTTTAGAGACTCTTAAAGTGTCTGAAGAGGTAGCAGGAGCTGACCCAAATCAGAAAAAGCACAAATGCTTAGCTCTATCTCATACATCAGTTCGGAGCCTTCTGTAACGTGAGCCTTGCAACATGGGTTTTTGTTTTTTGTCTGTTTGTTTTTTTACACAAACAGCCTATATTTACATGTTTTCTAGATGAAAAAACATAGGCTTTATTTTCCATAGACAGCACGGCCACTGTGCTCTGTGTATGTTCCCTTTCGTCCGGAGTATCACAAATCTTGACACAAAAACAGAACTCAAGAGCACTCCTAGACCACAAGAGGAATCCCTGCCCGGTGGGACTCTCCTCCTTCAACCCCATGAATTATTTTTTAAACAAGCCTCTAAAAACGCACAAGTCCTTGACAAGGTTTTGGAAGTCCAGGCTTTTCTGACTAGGCAGCAAGATGTCGTATGTCTCCAAATACAGAGAATAACCCTTCAAAGTGATTTAGATCATCCCTAGGGGACCATAGCTCTTTCCCACATCTAAACTTGTCTGTGCCAATGAATGTCAAAAGAGTGGAGAAGAAGGGGAAAAAAAAAAAAAAAGAAAAAGAAAGAAGCAGAAAGCAGGACAGAATTGAAATGATAAAATCATCATATTTAGCGACTCTATGGTCCAGTCAGCTTCCTGGGGCACTTACCTTCCACGACCACACGTTGACAATCATGTCATGCTGGTAGCCCACCGAAACGATGTACTTGGAGCTGGGGGAGAAGGCGACGCAGGCCACGCCATACTTGTGTTCCTGCAGCTCTGCCACCTGTGTCCGCTCAGCCACATCCCACACGCGAACAGCGGGCATGTGGCCACTCTGCAGGGACAGGGACGGGCAGAGAACAGGAAACGTAACTCCTGAGGTTGGTTCTGATGGACTCAGGCATGTAAAAGGATGGGAGCTTGGGAGACGATACACAGATGTTGGAATCACCATATAGGTTAGAGCTCACCTCCTGTGACTCTTCAAACACCCTCCTCTCCTTCAGTCCCTCTTACATTCCCCCCAAAAGGGTCCAAGACTGGAACAATACTTTTCCTGCATATCCCTGAGTTTGCAATGGGAACTCGCAGCCTGCTCACGAAAAGCATTATGTGACAACATATATTCAGACTCAGTGAACCCAAAGACCCTCTGCAGACACCCTCTGCTCCTTACACAACACGGACACTGGAGATCTTGAACCAGCTCAGTCAAGCCTCCCCCAAACACGATGTGACTGTTTATGTCAATCAGAGCACAGCATCTCCGGAAGGC